AGTTTTTATAACAGTAATCTGCATAAAGTCCAGAATGTTCTAAAGAGTGATCAGAGTAACAGCAATTAATTGCAAAGTCAATATTTGCCTAGAAAATGAACTTTATCCCTAAACACATTTCATGGTGATTGCAGCCCTGCCTTAAAGGAGCAGCTACCATGGTTCCAGTGATTGGTCCATTAACAGGTGTGGGTGGTGATGAGGACAGGGCTGCAGATCAATCTGTCAGGATTCAGTCAGAATGACGCAGCAGAGGCTGCTGCTCGGCATCATTGGTTCTCTGCTGTGAACCATGGTTATCTCTAAAGAAACACCTGCAGTCATCATTGCACTGCACAAAGATGGCCGAACAGGAAAGAGAATGGCAGCTAGAGAGATTGCTCCTCAGTCAGCAATCTATGGCATCATCAAGAACTTCAAGGAGAGAGGTTCCATTGCTGCCAAAAAGGCTCCAGGGCGCCAAGAAAGACCAGCAAGCGCCAGGACCGTCTCTGAAAGTGTTTCAGCTGCGGGATCGGGCTTCCAGCGGTGCAGAGCTTGCTCAGGAATGGCAGCAGGCAGGTGTGAGTGCATCTGCACTGTGAGGCGGAGACTCTTGGAGCAAGGCCTGATGGCTTCCATAGAGACCGTTATAAAGCATTTAGAAAACAATAAGTCTTATCTTCCAGATATTTCTGGAGGCATATTATAATGGTGGCCTACCCAAATCTATGATAAATGCTTTGATTAGAACTATTAGCTCCTACTTTAATGCCAGGGATGTCCCTCAATGGGAGGAAATGGAATCACTAAGTCCACCATTACCTGTCTTTAACTTTATCTTTATTGTTGTCATTGTCACAAAGAACAACGAAAAAAAAAAATAATAATAAATAAAAAAATATATATATGTTTTATCGGATTCAGTCTAATTCTAAGCTAATTCTATTGTGATCAAAATATGGTACGACGTAAAGAAGTTCACAGAAGAACCAGTTACACGTTCACAGTTTACTCTATTTGATATATGGCAAAAATATTGCTGGAAAAAACCCAAAACGCACTAATCTGGAAGCATCACTGTTTAGGTTTTACTTATTGTAATATCTAATGTCTTTCCCTCAGTCATATATTTATTCTTAATCTTATATTATTATTATTAATATTATTATATATTATTTTTGTGAGACCATTTAAAGTAAAAAGGGATTAATGATGGTGGGATGGGCACCAAAGATAACCAGTTAAACCAGTATGGATCTTTGGACAGATGGGAGGTGAATGTTTTATGCTTCTAGATGTGACTTAATATGAGGAATAAAGAAAAGCAGATAAATGAAGCGATAATGCAGAAGGATCGGTTCAGCAGAAACAGCTGAGGAGGCACAGATGGAGGAAATGATTGGAGACCGGAAGAGGAAGAAGGAAACAACAGATTAAGATTATAGGAAGAAGAAATGGAAAGATCAGTTAGACTAGGCTGGATTATTTACAGCATCAAAGGAAAGCGGATGGATTATAAATCATCTGGGGCCGTTTCTGAGCCCATCTCTGGAAAATGGGCAATATTTACTGGTCCAGCAGGGGGCGACAATCCGCCTTCAGCTGGTTAGCAACCCGCAGGAACAGCAGAGATGGTGGCAGTTATACTGAGTTTCTAATGGGGGGAGCAGGTCAGAGCAGACAGGGTGGTGGTCTGCACGGATTAATAGAGATTAATCTATGAATTCTGACTTTAATCTCACAATTCTGACTGAATTCTGACAATAAAAAGAGAATTAAAAGAGAATTAAAAGAGAATTAAAAAAAGAGATTAAAGTCAGAATTCATGTTAAACTGAAATAAAATTGAAAAATCAGTTAATTTTTTTTTTTAGTGGCCCTAATCCTCTTCTGTACAAATCTATGTGTTAAGACAAACGTTTTCTGTTGTATAGGTTTTGTTAGGCAACATAAATGAACACATTTTGGTCTCTTTATTGTCTTAGTTGTATATTGGTTTAGTAATTGCAGCACAATGCCAAGAAAGGAGGGTTAATCGTATTGAAAAATCTTAAAAGCTATTTGCATTTTATTTTTAAGTGGTTTGTACAAAATCAGCAGGTATTAAAATAGCTATTATTTTGTAGGCTACCATAAGTCATATCCACGTGACAAGACTTCCAGTCATGTTGTCCTAATAGCCAAGGGCGTAGGTCTGATTTGAACTTTGGTGGGGACACTATTGGCCTGGTGTCATTGGTGCTATGCAATATGCCTCTCCTTTTTTATGCACGATGTGAGCATCCGTACTGATAAGACGAATTCATTGTTAAAAGAGAAAAGCAACATTTTGCTACATTAATAAAAATGTTATAAGCTCTACACTCATTAGATGCTGTTTATCAATGTTTGAAGTATCAGCGGCTCTGATGAATGTGGAATTAGGACTGTTTTCCACTTTGAAAACGGTTTCATTTGAACGACTAAGAGAGAAGGTAAATACAGTATTTTCCTCTGAAGATATAGAATTATGCAGAGTTAAACCCCACTCTAATATTGTTACCTACTATTCTCTCTCTGTATCAAGCAAAATAATACATTCATTAAAATATTAACTTCACTATAAAAGTTGAACATCTGGGCTGTAGTTACTCTGTGTAGCCCATTTTATGTATTTTATCTGAGGCTGAAAAAATTAATCGGATTAATTGATTATTTCAATAATCGTCAACAAATTTAGTAAGTGATTAATCATTAACTGAAGAATAGAGACTATAAAACATAATATAAATGTAAAATGTCCCTTTCCCCTACAGAGCAACCCACTTAGATCAGTAATTATACCAAAATTGTAAAAATACAATATATATATATATATATATATATATATATATATATATATATATATATATATATATATATATATATATATATATAATATATATAAGATAAAAAAAAATGTCTTGTCTGTCAATATTCTCCACCCAGAACTCCTCATGTGGAAATATTTTAGTATCACCTGGTTTATTTAGACGTCACCTGAAGCACTGAAGGGCAGCTGCTTCACCTACAAGCTGCCCTGCATCATTATTACTGGATATCTGTGTTTCCTATAATTATATAATGCATAAGTGCATTTTTAATAGTAAAGGATTAAATGTAACACAACCTTTTATCATTGTCCTATATTGCTTACTGTCTGACTGTTTAAATAGCTCCTTATGTATATTTTCTTTTTTAGTGGCATCATCTATAAAGCAAAACACTAAGAATGAGCCTAGGTTTATTAAAATATAAAATCACTTTTAACAATTATAAAAGACAATATAACACTATCTTATCTGTAATTTAATAATATCCAAAATAAACAGCCACATTCAAGCATTTTTTCCAGACATTAATGTTTGTACTAATTTACTTATAGACTGTGTGGAAATCTATGTAAGATAAAATCAATGTTTATATTCTTCCTCTGTTTGTTCTTGTCTTTATCCTATTTCTAGAAGTATAAATAGTCAATAAAATAGAACTATTATTATGTGGAACCCTAATTATGCTTTTTAAATGAAAAACAGCAGATGTTTAGGCCCCATTTCTTGTTGTTGTACTCTATAAGAGAAATAACACCCGCTAATAATTATACCTGAACTTCCTCAAAGAGTCATCAAAAAATGAAAACAGTAATATCAACTAAATATCGGTAAAAAGGAAACACTCACTTTTTCTTTCTTAGTTGGCTGTGGCTAAGAATCAGAAATGTTGATGGCTTACAGCCTTTATTTGCCCATTTTGTGTCTTCAGAACTCCTGGCTGACTCAGAATATTTCGCTTTATTAAAGAAAAAAAAAGGTTTTTGTTTTTTAGTGTACATGATATTCATTTTTTTTAATTGGGACTAGTTTTGTAGTCTAATATTAATTGTAGTAACCGCAGCATTCTAGTGTGAATACATTTTCAACGGTGTGCTCCAAGCGCACCAGGACTAGAAAACAGCCAATCAGAGAGAGAGAAGGCGGAACCTAAGGCAGAACAACCAATGAGAGTGGAGTTAAACAGCGCAGCACAGTTCCATGCGCTGCTGCGTGAAAGGGACAGGAGAGAGCAGGCAGAGGAGCTGCGAGAGGAAAAGAAGCCACTGCTGCAACAACTACTGCTGTAAATTAGAAACATGTTGCTCACATCCAATTATTGGGAGGGACAATTAGGACGGTTCAAAATGTTGGTAGGGACAATTAGGTCGGTTCTAAATGTTGGTAGGGACAATTAGGTCGGTTCTAAATGTTGGTAGGGACAATTAGGTCGGTTCTAAATGTTGGTAGGGACAATTAGGTCGGTTCTAAATGTTGGTAGGGACAATTAGGTCGGTTCTAAATGTTGGTAGGGACAATTAGGTCGGTTCTAAATGTTGGTAGGGACAATTAGGTCGGTTCTAAATGTTGGTAGGGACAATTAGGTCGGTTCTAAATGTTGGGAGGGACATGTCCCTATGGTGTGACTTTTTTCCATTGAAAACTCACGTTTAGAGAATGTTACAAATAAAAGTCAAATTTCATTCAACATGCATGTATTTTTTTTATTTTTTATAATTAAGTGTTCCACGTGCGCTAAAAAGTGCCCCCCAACACCCCCCCCCCTTCCTGAGCACCTGCCCCCCAAAATGTCTGTGCACGCCTCTGCAAAAGTTAGTATTAAATAGAAATATTAATGAGAGAAACCGAAGGGAAGAAATAACAATGATCAGATTAAGAGTGGATCATACATTTATATTTAGTAGGGAGGAAAAATAATGCTAAATGTGAAGGATGTGGAGAGATAGAACATGTAGAACAACAACTGGAGAACATCTGGACCTGAAAGGACAGGCCAAGAATGGAGTCTGAAGGGATTATTGGGAAATAAAGGAAATATAAAAGATATTTATAGATTAAGGAAAGCATTATTTATTTATCTTCAGAATACAAAATTAAAAAATAGAATTAAATAGATGTAAAACAATGTTGCTACACACTCATGAACAGTAGGTGGCGATCCGCCATGATAGAAAAGAGGAAGAAGAAGAAGAACCCGTAGGAATCCCAAGAAGAAGAAACAGCAGTATCGGCAGGTTCGGATCAGGCATGGGTTCGGCTGGCTGGACGGTAGGAGGAGGTTCTGGCTCGGTTCCGGGCGCATGAGCTCGGTTCGGGTCCAGTTCGGCTGGTATTTGTTGGAATGTTTTGTTCTGGTTGTTGGACTCAGAGACGGACCGCCAGCAGGATGCTAACTGCTAGCTGCAGCAGCGGGGTGGACCGGGCCATGCGGCCGGAGGAACCGCGTCCTTTTATGGACCGGAACCAGCGAACCCAGCTGCTAGAACGCTTCTAGACAGGAGGCACTCTGATAGATCTACATCTATGAGATGAGGAGACAGCGGTCCATTTGGACCACAGGACTGGTTCTGCCGAAGGTGAAGCCCTGCATGGCTAACCAGGCTAGCTGGAGCGCCCCCTGGAGGCTAGCCGGGTTAAGGTTAGCTCTAACCCTAACCGCTCCCTGGAGCCACCAAGGAGCAGCTGTGAGGTCATCAGCGTTGTCATGGTAACTATAACCATCCAGCGACGTTCTGCTGCTTCAGCTCCAATCAGAAGCATCAGCCAATGGGAGCACAGCTCCAGCAACCTCTGACTCTGATTGCAGGAGATGGGAGCCAATCAGAAGAGGGTCCAGGTGGAATGACATCATCATATCACAGGTGAACTACATGATAGACCGGACCGAGCCCCAGACCAGCACCTGGGGTCAGACCCACCTGGATATGATGCAACAAAAGGCCGACTGAAGCTCCGCCCCCAGCAGTCTGTTCACAGAGGCGGGGCCGTGACATAAACGGACCGAAGCGTGTTCTGATCCAGGCGGGTCGCCCCAGAACCTCACCCTCCTCTGACCCGGATGTTCTCTGTTCCTTAGGTGGTTCTGCTGCAGACGCATCGCCCACAGAGGGCAGCGGGTGAGTGATGTCACGGTGTGGGCGGGGCCGTGACATAAACGGACCGAAGCGTGTTCTGATCCAGGCGGGTCGCCCCAGAACCACGCCCTCCTCTGACCCGGATGTTCTCTGTTCCTTAGGTGGTTCTGCTGCAGACGCATCGCCCACAGAGGGCAGCAGGTGAGTGATGTCACGGTGTGGGCGGGGCCGTGACCTTAACGGACCGAAGCGTGTTCTGATCCAGGCGGGTCGCCCCAGAACCACGCCCTCCTCTGACCCGGATGTTCTCTGTTCCTTAGGTGGTTCTGCTGCAGACGCATGGCCCACAGAGGGCAGCGGGTGAGTGATGTCACGGTGTGGGCGGGGCCGTGACCTTAACGGACCGAAGCGTGTTCTGATCCAGGCGGGTCGCCCCAGAACCACGCCCTCCTCTGACCCGGATGTTCTCTGTTCCTTAGGTGGTTCTGCTGCAGACGCTTCGCCCACAGAGGGCAGCAGGTGAGTGATGTCACGGTGTGGGCGGGGCCGTGACATTAACGGACCGAAGCGTGTTCTGATCCAGGCGGGTCGCCCCAGAACCACGCCCTCCTCTGACCCGGATGTTCTCTGTTCCTTAGGTGGTTCTGCTGCAGACGCTTCGCCCACAGAGGGCAGCAGGTGAGTGATGTCACGGAGTGGGCGGGGCCGTGACATTAACGGACCGAAGCGTGTTCTGATCCAGGCGGGTCGCCCCAGAACCACGCCCTCCTCTGACCCGGATGTTCTCTGTTCCTTAGGTGGTTCTGCTGCAGACAGCTTCGCCCACAGAGGGCAGCAGGTGAGTGATGTCACGGTGTGGGCGGGGGCCGTGACATTAACGGACCGAAGCGTGTTCTGATCCAGGCGGGTCGCCCCAGAACCACGCCCTCCTCTGACCCGGATGTTCTCTGTTCCTTAGGTGGTTCTGCTGCAGACGCTTCGCCCACAGAGGGCAGCGGGTGAGTGATGTCACGGTGTGGGCGGGGCCTGCTGGGAGATGATGTGAACAAAAGGCCGAATTGTAGCGCCCCCCTCAGGCAGCTTGTTCTCAGGGCGGGGCGCCATGACAAACACGGACCGAAGCGTTCATCTGATCCCGCCTCCAGTCTGCTTCTGGAGGTCTGCTGGGTCCAGAACCAGGACCGGGTGGTGCAGGGATCCAGACCTCCAGAACCGGACTCGGTCAGAACCAGTCAGCAGGGGGCGCCCCAGTCAGGGCCTCCTGCTGACTGGTTCTGACCCGGTTCTGGTCAGAACCAGAACATCAGGCTTTGATTCCATGAAGGGAGGGGATTTCTGTTTGGTTCTGGTTCCGGGCCTTAAACGGCGCCACCTGTTGGTTCTGTTGGACCTCATTCCTCAGAACCACCCCTGTAGAACCGGATGGAACCACTGGACCAGAACCTGGCACTCATTTGGACCCGCTGTTCTTCCAGATGTTCCGGTTCCGATGCTGCCGTCCATCCAGACTGCTGTTACCACGGCGATCTGAGGTAGTGGACCCTGAGGTTCTGGTTCTGGTCCAGACCCGCTCTCCAGGTTGGGTTCTGACCACGCTCTGCTCTCTCCGCAGGTTCCGGTTCTGACAGGTTCCCCTCTGCGGGTTGCCGTGGCGATGAGGAGGCGGGACATCCATCCTGTGGGTCGGTTCTGGAGAACCTCACACTGGAACCGGCTCCCTGTGGATCATTCAGAACCAGGCTGGGTTCTGACCCGCTTCAGTTCGTCTCCAGAACCGTGATCCGGGCCTCTCCAGAACCCATCACTGTAACCATGTCGTGTTCCGGACAGGAACCCAAACACCAGAACCAAAGAACCCATCCCTGGTTCTGTCAGCGGGTCCGGTTTGTTCTGGAGCGGTTCTGGGTGGGTTCTACTAGCTCTGTTTGTTTTCGGGTCGCTGCTTCCAGAACTTTAATAAAAACTCTGTTGATGAACTGGGTTCTGGTTCTGATCATTTGGGTTTCCAGGTTCTATGATGTCTCAGGTATGGTTCTGACCCGACCGGCTACCGGTACCGCTGGCACCAGTTAGTTTAGAATGGAACCCTTCTACAGGAATGGAGCCGGTTCTGATCCATTTGGACCTTTAGAATCAAAACAGCAGCTTTTTCAAATAATTTGGACTGAAAAGTTCTGATGAGTCTGTGACACTGCTGGTTCTGATCCAAACAGAACCTTTCTGGTGAAAATGGCCTCACTGGTTCTGCTGGGTCGGGTCTGGTTCTGCTGGGTCGGGTCTGGTTCTGCTGGGTCGGGTCTGGTTCTATTGGGTCGGGTCTGGTTCTGTTGGGTCGGGTCTGGTTCTGTCTCATCCTCAGCCCCCCCGGTGGTGGGGGTCGGGGTGACCCGGAAGTGCTCCAGAACCATCTCCGGACTCGGTTCTGGTTGATGATCGAAGCAGAGGATCGGTGCTGGACCCGGAGCGATGCAGACCGATCCGGATCCTCAGGTAAGCGGCGATCCGGAACCTCAGAACCGAACCCGGTCTGAGCTGCGCTGCGGAGCTAGCGGCTCCACCAGACTCCGTTCAAAAAATGTCTAATTTAGCAGCCTGGGATTCATTGGGTTCTGGGTCCATTTCCCTCCAGCGTTCGCAGCTGCCGCAGCAGCAGCCCTTCACAGGTCCGGAGATAAACCAGAGGAGCTGCGCTGACCGAACCGGGTCACCGAACCGGGCCCCCAGCTCCAGTCTAGCTTTAGAGATTGAAGCCTAAAACGGCCGAACTTTGAATGGAGTCTGGCGGAGGCTCCTGGCCGCTCAAAGAACCGGCATCTTGGTTCGGACCAGCGCGGTTCCGGGTCCACTGGGCCCCATCCGAACTGTGGCGGGTGGGTGGAACGTTGATTGAAATCAGCAGGCGGTTCTGGGTTCAGTTCTGACGTCATCATGGTATTAATATGATGCGGTCTTTGATGTGGTTCCGACAGACTGGGTCAGAACCCTGGGTGGGTGGACCGGTTCTGGACTAAGATCCAGATCTGGTTCTGGGTCCAGTGGACTCTGTGGTACCGGGATAAGCTGGGGGGGGGGAGGTCCATGTCCAGCTGTTTACTGGGGACAGGAGAGGAGTCCACCCTGGACAGAGAGGAGGGGGGTCCAACCTGGACACAGAGGAGGGGGGTCCACCCAGGACAGAGAGGAGGGGGGGTCCATCATGGACAGAGAGGAGGGGGGTCCACCCTGGACAGAGAGGAGGGGGGGTCCATCATGGACAGAGAGGAGGGGGGTCCACCCAGGACAGAGAGGAGGGGGGGTCCATCCTGGACAGGTCTCCAGTCCATCAGAGACAAACAGGACAAACAATCATTGGCTGCAGAGGGGGGGGGGTCGCCTCCAGCAGCCTGGATTATAATCTGTGTTACTGTTAAAAATGGACGTTAGATTTTATTATTCTGATTAAATTCCAACCATTAAAACACATCTATAAATCTGATCATTGTGATGAGCAGCCTGAAGCAGCTGCACCAAATAACCTGTTTTATTGTCATTAAACGATTAGATGAATAAACAATAAACTCTCAGAATAAAATAATCTGTCCTTTAATAAAGTTCTAGTGAAACCGGAATTTATTTTCACTATCCTGGTTTCTATCAATCAGCTCAGACTTTTGTTTTAAATAAGCTCTTATTTTGATAGGATGTAAATAGAAAGATTAAATGATCCTAAGCCCTACTTGTGCGTCCTGGTGAAACATCACCATCAGCCTGAGCACTGTTCCTATTCACTAGGACAGCAGAGCAAAGTCCCTGCATGATGTTTGGTTTGGGACCATGTGGGATTTCAGGGTAAGATGGCGTCCTGTGATGACCAGCCTGAGCTCTCTGCTCCTCATCTATACGCTAACAGCTGAGTGGGCAGCATGCTAACGCCCTCCTTCTACCGTAATAACAGCTGTGTGCACAACATGCTAACGCCCTCCTTCTACCGTAATAACAGCTGTGTGTGGGCAGCGTGCTAACGCCCTCCTTCTACCGTAATAACAGCTGAGTGGGCAGCATGCTAACGCCCTCCTTCTACCGTAATAACAGCTGTGTGCACAACATGCTAACGCCCTCCTTCTACCGTAATAACAGCTGTGTGTGGGCAGCGTGCTAACGCCCTCCTTCTACCGTAATAACAGCTGTGTGCACAACATGCTAACGCCCTCCTTCTACCGTAATAACAGCTGTGTGCACAGCGTGCTAACGCCCTCCTTCTACCGTAATAACAGCTGTGTGTGCGCAGCGTGCTAACGCCCTCCTTCTACCGTAATAACAGCTGTGTGTGCGCAGCGTGCTAACGCCCTCCTTCTACCGTAATAACAGCTGTGTGCACAACATGCTAACGCCCTCCTTCTACCGTAATAACAGCTGTGTGCGCAGCGTGCTAACGCCCTCCTTCTACCGTAATAACAGCTGTGTGTGCACAGCGTGCTAACGCCCTCCTTCTACCGTAATAACAGCTGTGTGTGCGCAGCGTGCTAACGCCCTCCTTCTACCGTAATAACAGCTGTGTGTGTGCAGCGTGCTAACGACCTCCTTCTACCGTAATAACAGCTGAGTGTGCACAGCGTGCTAACGCCCTCCATCTACCGTAATAACAGCTGTGTGCACAGCGTGCTAACGCCCTCCTTCTACCGTAATAACAGCTGTGTGTGCACAGCGTGCTAACGCTCTCCTTCTACCGTAATAACAGCTGAGTGTTCACAACATGCTAACGCTCTCCTTCTACCGTAATAACAGCTGAGTGTTCACAACATGCTAACGCCCTCCTTCTACCGTAATAACAGCTGAGTGTTCACAACATGCTAACGCCCTCCTTCTACCGTAATAACAGCTGTGTGTGGGCAGCGTGCTAACGCCCTCCTTCTACCGTAATAACAGCTGTGTGTGCACAGCATGCTAACGCCCTCCTTCTACCGTAATAACAGCTGTGTGTGCACAGCATGCTAACGCCCTCCTTCTACCGTAATAACAGCTGAGTGTGCACAGCGTGCTAACGCCCTCCTTCTACCGTAATAACAGCTGTGTGTGCGCAGCATGCTAACGCCCTCCTTCTACTGTAATAACAGCTGTGTGTGTGCACAGCGTGCTAACGCCCTCCTTCTACCGTAATAACAGCTGTGTGTGGGCAGCGTGCTAACGCCCTCCTTCTACCGTAATAACAGCTGTGTGTGCGCAGCGTGCTAACGCCCTCCTTCTACCGTAATAACAGCTGTGTGTGCGCAGCGTGCTAACGCCCTCCTTCTACCGTAATAACAGCTGTGTGCACAGCGTGCTAACGCCCTCCTTCTACCGTAATAACAGCTGTGTGTGCACAGCATGCTAACGCCCTCCTTCTACCGTAATAACAGCTGTGTGTGCACAGCATGCTAACGCCCTCCTTCTACCGTAATAACAGCTGTGTGCACAGCATGCTAACACCCTCCTTCTACCGTAATAACAGCTGTGTGTGCACAGCGTGCTAACGCCCTCCTTCTACCGTAATAACAGCTGTGTGTGCGCAGCGTGCTAACGCCCTCCTTCTACCGTAATAACAGCTGAGTGTGCACAGCGTGCTAACGCCCTCCATCTACCGTAATAACAGCTGAGTGTTCACAACATGCTAACGCCCTCCTTCTACCGTAATAACAGCTGAGTGTTCACAACATGCTAACGCCCTCCTTCTACCGTAATAACAGCTGAGTGGGCACAGCATGCTAACGCCCTCCTTCTACTGTAATAACAGCTGTGTGTGTGCACAGCGTGCTAACGCCCTCCTTCTACCGTAATAACAGCTGTGTGTGGGCAGCGTGCTAACGCCCTCCTTCTACCGTAATAACAGCTGTGTGTGCGCAGCGTGCTAACGCCCTCCTTCTACCGTAATAACAGCTGTGTGTGCGCAGCGTGCTAACGCCCTCCTTCTACCGTAATAACAGCTGTGTGCACAGCGTGCTAACGCCCTCCTTCTACCGTAATAACAGCTGTGTGTGCACAGCATGCTAACGCCCTCCTTCTACCGTAATAACAGCTGTGTGTGCACAGCATGCTAACGCCCTCCTTCTACCGTAATAACAGCTGTGTGCACAGCATGCTAACACCCTCCTTCTACCGTAATAACAGCTGTGTGTGCACAGCGTGCTAACGCCCTCCTTCTACCGTAATAACAGCTGTGTGTGCGCAGCGTGCTAACGCCCTCCTTCTACCGTAATAACAGCTGAGTGTGCACAGCGTGCTAACGCCCTCCATCTACCGTAATAACAGCTGAGTGTTCACAACATGCTAACGCCCTCCTTCTACCGTAATAACAGCTGTGTGTGCACAGCATGCTAACGCCCTCCTTCTACCGTAATAACAGCTGTGTTCACAACGTGCTAACGCCCTCCTTCTACCGTAATAACAGCTGTGTGTGCACAGCGTGCTAACGCCCTCCTTCTACCGTAATAACAGCTGTGTGTGCGCAGCGTGCTAACGCCCTCCTTCTACCGTAATAACAGCTGTCAGTGCGCAGCATGCTAACGCCCTCCTTCTACCGTAATAACAGCTGAGTGGGCACAGCATGCTAACGCCCTCCTTCTACCGTAATAACAGCTGAGTGTTCACAACATGCTAACGCCCTCCTTCTACCGTAATAACAGCTGTGTGTGCACAGCGTGCTAACGCCCTCCTTCTACCGTAATAACAGCTGTGTGTGCGCAGCGTGCTAACGCCCTCCTTCTACCGTAATAACAGCTGAGTGTGCACAGCGTGCTAACGCCCTCCTTCTACCGTAATAACAGCTGTGTGTGCACAGCGTGCTAACGCCCTCCTTCTACCGTAATAACAGCTGTCAGTGCGCAGCATGCTAACGCCCTCCTTCTACCGTAATAACAGCTTTGTGTGCGCAGCATGCTAACGCCCTCCTTCTACCGTAATAACAGCTGAGTGTTCACAACATGCTAACGCCCTCCTTCTACCGTAATAACAGCTGAGTGTTCACAACATGCTAACGCCCTCCTTCTACCGTAATAACAGCTGTGTGTGCACAGCATGCTAACGCCCTCCTTCTACCGTAATAACAGCTGTGTTCACAACGTGCTAACGCCCTCCTTCTACCGTAATAACAGCTGTGTGTGCACAGCGTGCTAACGCCCTCCTTCTACCGTAATAACAGCTGTGTGTGCGCAGCGTGCTAACGCCCTCCTTCTACCGTAATAACAGCTGTCAGTGCGCAGCATGCTAACGCCCTCCTTCTACCGTAATAACAGCTGAGTGGGCACAGCATGCTAACGCCCTCCTTCTACCGTAATAACAGCTGAGTGTTCACAACATGCTAACGCCCTCCTTCTACCGTAATAACAGCTGTGTGTGCACAGCGTGCTAACGCCCTCCTTCTACCGTAATAACAGCTGTGTGTGCGCAGCGTGCTAACGCCCTCCTTCTACCGTAATAACAGCTGAGTGTGCACAGCGTGCTAACGCCCTCCTTCTACCGTAATAACAGCTGTGTGTGCACAGCGTGCTAACGCCCTCCTTCTACCGTAATAACAGCTGTCAGTGCGCAGCATGCTAACGCCCTCCTTCTACCGTAATAACAGCTTTGTGTGCGCAGCATGCTAACGCCCTCCTTCTACCGTAATAACAGCTGTGTGTGTGAATAGAAAAATTTGGGTCGTCCCGGGTCAGAACCCGGGTCCAGATAGAGCTGAACAGGTCTGCTTTGGACCGGGGTTCTGGTTCTGGGTCCAGTTGCCCCCATTCATAGTTCTGGTTCTGTGGGTCTGTGTTTCAGGATGCAGTGGAGGAGTTCTACAGCATTCGGGTCAAACCAGAACCAGGAGAAGATGAACCAGAACCAGGACATGGCGTGGAGATCCGCTCGTTTCCGCTCCTGAAGAAGCTGTCAGTCACACTCACTGACTGCAGGGCGTGGCTGAAGGGGCGGGACTTCCTCTGTCTGGGTGAGACGCAGCGTGACGCCACGCGGGCTCCGGATCAGAACAACCGGTTCTGTTGGTTCTTCTGTATCTGCTGACTCAGACTCGGGTTCCATTAGGGTTCTGCTGGTCCTCTGCTCAGAGTTTCGGGTCAGAACCGCTCAGACGGGTCCCTGAACGCAGCATCTAATCCACCTGATCAGTGCAGCACCATGACCTAATTCACCATGGCAACCACAGCCACGCCCTGGGGGTGGGGTCCATTGGCTGCTGCGCCTGGGGGGGCGGAGCTACAGCTGGAGTCCTTTCTCATTGGTTCCCATCAGATTGGATCAGAGAAAATTACTGATCATCTATTTCTTAGTTTTCAGCAAAATAAGGTGAAAATATTTTTATCGTTTAAAAACGGTCGTCATCTTCCGCTTCCTCCAGAACTGGTCCAGTGGAGCGGTCCAGTGGGGCGGTCCAGTGGGGCGGTCCAGTGGGGCGGTCCAGTGGGGCGGTCCAGTGGAGCGGTCCAGTGGGGCGGTCCAGACCACACGTTGTTCATCGTTGGTCATCAGGAATCAGGAGAGTTGGTTACAGAACGATGACATCATCAATGTAGAGCGGTGACGGTTCGCCATAAACACCTCTTTCCCAATGCGGGAAAAACCAGTTTGAACTGGACCAAAAACGGGCGGGGGAACTGGGCGGGGGAACCGGGCGGGGGAACCTGGCGGGGGAACCTGGCGGGGGAACCGGATGGGGAACCTGGCGGGGGAACCTGGCGGGGGAACCGGATGGGGAACCGGGCGGGGGAACCGGGCGGGGGAACCTGGCGGGGGAACCAGGAGGGGGAACCAGGCGGGGAACCGGGCGGGGAACCTGGAGGGGGAACCTGGCGGGAACGATGAGCTCTGAGCAGAACCAGCAGGTGAAGCCCTGAAGCAGCGCTGCAGACGGCATGTGACGCCCTCTGTTCCGCGGCGGCGCTCCCATAACCGCCCTCTCCTCCTCTGCAGGCGAGCGCCCCTGGCCCCAGCGCACCAACAGCGGCAGGAAGATGGTGTACTGCCCCACCTGTCAGAGGGGCTTCTACAAGCAGGCCCACCTGGAGGCCCACCTGTGGAGCCATCGAGGACAGAAACCCAACGAATGCTGGCAGTGCGGGAAGACCTACCCCACCGTGATGAGTCTGGCGGTTCACCAGCAGGTCCACGGCCGCAGCCAGCCCTACCGCTGCTCCTACTGCGACCGCACCTTCGCCCTGAAGAGGGACTGGAAGACCCACCACCGCACCCACTCCGGGACCAGGCCCTTCCGCTGCTGGTTCTGTGGGGATGGCTTCAGCGAGCAGGACCAGCTGGACCGGCACCTGGAGCTCCACAAGGACGAGCGGTCCTACCACTGCGAGCTCTGCGACAAGATGTTTGTGTCCTACCAGGGCTTCAACTTCCACCGCAAGTCCCACAAGAAGTCCAAGCGAGTGCCCTGCCTGCAGTGCTCCAAGACCTTCAGCAACCCCCAGAGCCTGAAGGTCCACCAGGCCACGCACTCCAGCCGCAAGCCGCACACCTGCCCCACCTGCGGGAAGGGCTTCAAGCTGCACGGCGGCCTGCGCAGCCACCAGCGCGTCCACGGCGGCCTGAAGGAGTACCGCTGCTCTGAGTGCAGCAAGTGCTTCTCCAGCCTGCAGGGCCTGAAGCTGCACCACCGCACCCACACCGGCCTGAAACCCTACGCCTGCTCCCACTGCGGGAAGAGGTTCACCCAGGCGCCGCACCTCAAGTCGCACATGGTCACCCACACGGGCGAGCGCCCCTTCCTCTGCACCACCTGCGGCAAACGCTTCACCCAGTCGTCCCACCTGCGCTCCCACTTCAAGCTCTTCCACCTGGGAGAGAAGCCCTTCAGCTGCGCCGACTGCGGGAAGAGCTTCACCATCGCGCACTACCTGAAGATGCATCGTCTGAGCCACACCAAGGAGAAACTCTACCACTGCTCCTACTGCCACAAGGCCTTCTCCTACCACAACTCCTGGAGGGCCCACGAGAGGATCCACACCGGCGAGCGCCCCTTCCGCTGCCGGGACTGCGGCCGCACCTTCGTCACATCCGGCTCGCTGCTGGGCCACCGCCGGGCCGTCCACACCGGCGAGAAGAACCACTACTGCATCACCTGCGGCCGCTTCTTCTTCACCAGCTCGCTGCTGCGGGTCCACCAGCTGGACCACACCGGCGAGCGGCCGCACGCCTGCAGCTGCGGCAAGACCTTCAAGACCAAAGGAGTCCTCCGCTTCCACCTGAAGAGGTTCACCCAGCACCAGCCGGCGCGCTAGGCCGTCCTCCCTCTGCCACCGCCGCAGCAGGTAGGGACCTGGGACGGCTGGGCCGCCTCTGCGACCCGCCGCCACGACCCGCCGCCGTGACCCGCCGCTGCGACCCGCCGCCATGACCTGCTGCTGTGACCCGCCGCTGCGCTTCAGACGCTGCTAATGAAATAAACTCAGAAACTGATGAAGGTCTGAAGCCCGGTTCTGTTCCGGTCCAGGTGAACCTCAGACCACTGCAGCGCGGCTCGGCGGGTCCAGCTGAAACAGAACCGGCCCGGTTAAAGCTGCGCCTGGACCAGAACCGGCTCTGCATGCTCTTCCACCTGTTGCATAGACCCGATCCTCGGCCCAGTCTGAACGGGTCTCTGATGAGCAGAACCAGAATAAAGCTCTGCTGAAAGCTGCTGCTGGTGTTTCTGTTCTGAGCTACATAGAACCAGACCACATAGATAACTCATTTTCCCTCCCTCTTCTATTCTGTGTCTGTTGGCTGTGAGTCCACAAAACTGAAGCAGTAGACTTTGGAAATATTAACATTTGAATCAATCTCAGAACTTTGGCCATGAGTGTAGATGGAAAACAGGACTAAACACTGGAAAACAGGCCAAGCTCCAACATCTAGAAACAAAGGTGTTGATGGCAGCAGCACAGCTGATATTTCTCTCCAGGATGGAGTCACAGCCAAACAGGAACAGACCAGATGAAGCTACTATGAGAAAAAGCAGAGAGAGCAGAAGGTTAGAGATTGAACTAACAGATTCTGCAGAGTGGGAGAATAGAGATAGAATGAAGCAGAATGATGAGAAAGGGGTCCCTATGTCCTCCAGCAGTCTAAGCCTATAGCAGCAGAACTATAGAGATAGAATGAAGCAGAGAGAGCAGGGACAGCTCCGTGTCCCCATGTCTTCATTAATGGACAGAGTCTCACCAGAGACGACCGTCCAGGAGTTAGAATCTGAGTGAAAAAGTATTTTCTAGGTTTTGCTCCTATTATATCTTCCTAAAAGGAACCGTTACTGATCTAGATCAGCAATCTAGGCTTGAATGTTTTTGCTCTATGTTCAGTTTAAAGATTAATATTCTCCTAATATCTGTTAATGCAATCAGTTAAAGAGACACAACAAAGAGAAAAGGTTTTTATTTTTTAAAGGGAAGAAGTCAAATATAATTTTTCTGCAGTAAACGCATTCTAAGGATGATGATGTCATATTTTGGTCCAATCAGTGTAGAGATGAAGCTGAGATTAGCCATGATAATCCCAGATCAGCAGGAGTCACCTTCCTCCTAAATAAAGGTCAGATAGTTTCCCATCTAGCAGATGATCTGCTCACTGGATCGTTCTCATTATTAACACTGATGCTCTAAGATTCATATGAGTCAACATTTATGGATCCAGCATCCTACCTGGGTTACAGTTAGATAATCTCAGATTAACACTCAGCTGATGACGTCAGAATTGATGTTGATCTAAACCGAGTTCACGATGATTTTGTAGATAAATATCCTGGTAGATTCTCACCCAAACATCACATTCACAAAGTTTTACAACAAACATCATTTGGTTGATCCTGAGACATTTAGATCCAGGATTATTTACATATTCCTGGTTTAACTCGAAGCATAACTTTAAATCCAGAACTGATCATTGGCTGATTGCAGATCATTTACTGTTATATAATATTAGTTCTATGTCTGTGCTGCTCCTCTAACAGATGATCTGACTGCAGGTCAATGTCCGCTCACACAGACTGGAAGTTAAACTCTGCTTAAAACAGCGACTACAGCCTGAAAATCTGATCATTAATTACAGAAACATCAGAGGAACTAACCAACAAGTGGGAATATTTAAGATATAAAATATTCCTCTTTACCATTTCATTCAGAAAAATGACTAAAAAAGATATTAAAAACAAGAAGTAGACATTTTAATCGGTTAAATATTTACTGGAACAGGACTAACCCGACTGAAGAAGAGTCTAAACCTCCACCCTAAACCAGATTAGATTTAAACTGTGAGGGGCCTCCATCAGATCCAGAGCCCAGCGGACGGAGGAGGGAAACATTCAGAGGAAATAGCATCACATCCTTGATGATTAATGAGAATAAAGTCACAGATTAAAATTGATCTGTACAGAAATCTATACATTCTATAACCAGCTCTATAGCTCTACGTTCTCTCACATGGACTGGGAACTTTTTTCTTGAAATAATCAAACATATTCTTATAGTGAAGGACGGCCTGAAACAAACGTGATAATCAATTATAGAAGTTGATGCAGTGATCGGTCGTCTCTCTTAACGAAGCCCAGGATCCGATGGTCTCACTGCAGACTTTACAGACACTTCTGGACAGATTTAAAAGACCTGCTGCTAAAACTTTACTGAAATATTTGAAACCTGTGGCTTCCAGCAACAATGAGAGATGAGGTCATCGTCTCAGTTCCACAACCTGGAAAAGATCCTAGAATCCCAGATAACAGAAGAGCCACTAAACTCAGACTAAACTTCTAACTTCCATCTTTAAATCTGGTCTCCAAACAGGGAGTCCAGGTCTGACTGCAGAAACACAGCCAGGATTCTTAAAGGGACGATCAATCTATATTAGATTGGTAATAGACATCATAGATGATGGTTTCCTTCTATTTCTAGACTTCTACAAAGCCTGTGACTCCATGGAGCATCTATTATTCTTTCATCTCTCAAACACTTTGGATTCAGAGTGGAGTTTAGAGGATTTATCAGTGGACTGAGTGGAGAGATTAGCAGCTGTGTCCTTCTGCCCAGTGCCCCCCCCCCCCCCCCCCCCCAGCAATGCTAGCTATCTATATTAATGATATTAAAACCTGAATGTTCTTGGCACAGACATAATAATCAGCCAACTAGCAGATGATATTCCTGAACGATAAACACCAGATTTCAATAACTATTGTTAAAATGGATAAATTCTCCACAGCCTCGGGTCTAACGTTAAACGTTAAACATTAAACGTTATCATTGCTGTCTGAACATGAGATGCCACTGAAAGGCATCTGTAACATCCCGGTTAAATATCTGGGGATCCACCCATCCACAGACCAACTTCTGAACGACTAAACTTCAGGCTACAGAGGGATTAATCAACACTAGAACGGATCTAACATTAATCCTTATCTAGATCTATCTACCCGCCTCTTCCAATGCCGTCCTAAACACATTAATTCAATCTATTAACCAAATCAACCTAAACTCCATTTGGAGAAACAGACGACTTTATATGAAGAAAAGCAGTTTGGTTAAAGATGCAAAGATGGAGGACTCAAAGTTATTGATTTTCTGCCTAAATGGGAGCATAAAAATAAACTGGTTAAAATCTTGGATCAAACTCAGCGACTCCTTTTGGTTTCTATTCCAAGGAACCGGTTCAAGAAAACTGGAGGATTGGATTTTATTCTGAGAGGAAACTTTAATAAAGACAAACTGCCAATAACAGAGTTTAACAAACGAATCCTCCTGAACTGGAAAATGTTCTCTGTGTAGAACTCCTCTCCTGTTCTCTGATAAAACCGATATAATCTGCAGCACATCTGGAATGGGAGGAATATATACGGTGCATAGCAGGTTTAATGGATGCCAACAGAGCTTTAATAACTATGAGCAGTTTGGATTTAAACATCATTTCCAACCTTTACAGGCAGACTTTAATAAATAACACTCAGCACTACTTCAAGATTTTTATTTTAACGTAAAATACTTTAGCATTTCATCCAATAAACCAACAATCAGCTGCTCTGTCAATTTAAGGGATTAATATTATGGATATAAAATACACTAAACAGTTTATTAGAAACTGTTTTAATGAATAGCTTTACTCTGAAAACCAAATAAAAATAACATCCTACAGAAATCTGATAAAAGCTGAATAACTAAACTAAGAACAATCTAACACTCCCTATAGCCCCATAGGGGAAGGAAACACACTTTAAAATAATAAAGAACATTTACGCCTCTAAAGAATTATTCTAGACTTTGCTTCGGTATAGATGATAACACCTTTACGTTCTGTGAAATGACGTGGGAACTATGAACCATGTGTTCCTCTCATGTTCAGAGGTGCAAACATTTACATAGATGGATTAAACCACAGCCATCTTAATCCCAACCTTTACCTCCAGATTAAACCACAGCCATCTTAATCCCAACCTTTACCTCCAGATTAAACCACAGCGATCTTAATCCCAACCTTTACCTCCAGATTAAACCACAGCGATCTTAATCCCAACCTTTACCTCCAGATTAAACCACAGCGATCTTATTCCCAACCTTTACCTCCAGATTAAACCACAGCGATCTTAATCCCAACCTTTACCTCCAGATTAAACCACAGCGATCTTAATCCCAACCTTTACCTCCAGATTAAACCACAGCCGATCTTAATCCCAACCTTTACCTCCAGATTTAAACCACAGCGATCTTAATCCCAACCTTTACCTCCAGATTAAACCACAGCGATCTTAATCCCAACCTTTACCTCCAGATTAAACCACAGCGATCTTAATCCCAACCTTTACCTCCAGATTAAACCACAGCGATCTTAATCCCAACCTTTACCTCCAGATTAAACCACAGCGATCTTAATCCCAACCTTTACCTCCAGATTAAACCACAGCGATCTTATTCCCAACCTTTACCTCCAGATTAAACCACAGCGATCTTAATCCCAACCTTTACCTCCAGATTAAACCACAGCGATCTTAATCCCAACCTTTACCTCCAGATTAAACCACAGCGATCTTAATCCAACCTTTACCTCCAGATTAAACCACAGCGATCTTAATCCCAACCTTTACCTCCAGATTAAACCACAGCGATCTTAATCCCAACCTTTACCTCCAGATAAACCACAGCGATCTTAATCCCAACCTTTACCTCCAGATTAAACCACAGCGATCTTAATCCCAACCTTTACCTCCAGATTAAACCACAGCGATCTTATTCCCAACCTTTACCTCCAGATTAAACCACAGCGATCTTAATCCCAACCTTTACCTCCAGATTAAACCACAGCCATCTTAATCCCAACCTTTACCTCCAGATTAAACCACAGCGATCTTATTCCCAACCTTTACCTCCAGATTAAACCACAGCGATCTTAATCCCAACCTTTACCTCCAGATTAAACCACAGCCATCTTAATCCCAACCTTTACCTCCAGATTAAACCACAGCGATCTTATTCCCAACCTTTACCTCCAGATTAAACCACAGCGATCTTATTCCCAACCTTTACCTCCAGATTAAACCACAGCGATCTTAATCCCAACCTTTACCTCCAGATTAAACCACAGCGATCTTAATCCCAACCTTTACCTCCAGATTAAACCACAGCGATCTTAATCCCAACCTTTACCTCCAGATTAAACCACAATGATCTTAATCCCAACCTTTACCTCCAGATTAAACCACAGCGATCTTATTCCCAACCTTTACCTCCAGATTAAACCACAGCGATCTTAATCCCAACCTTTACCTCCAGATTAAACCAAGGCGATCTTAATCCCAACCTTTACCTCCAGATTAAACCACAGCGATCTTAATCCCAACCTTTACCTCCAGATTAAACCACAGCGATCTTAATCCCAACCTTTACCTCCAGGGATGACGTCACCTTAGGTCTGATGGTGCAAAGTAGAACTGATGAGCTCTGCAGTAATACTATGGCTTGTCTTCATTCAGAAATGTAGAATCATTAAATTATCTCCCAAACTTGTTTTTTTTTTAAACGAGTTTAAGTTTAAGCACAAAAAAAATATGAAATCCTAAAACATTTCCCAACAGAAGTAAACAGCTGAACAAAGACTCAATTCTCCCTCATGTTCATTTTTTAAAAATAATTTTATTTAAATAATTGTTTTTATTTTATAATTATTTTTGTAATTTTCTATTTGTTTGTTGTTGAATGTTTATGTTAATAACCCTCTATAGCAAGTCTACATTATTGATATATTTCATATTTGTAGAGATTCTCTCTGGATATAATTTCTATATCTGCGTCTCATGGGGCTGCGAACAGAGACGCTGATAGATGCTCTGTTCAAAACCTTGAAGGACGGGTCTGATGTATCCTCGGTATTCTTGGATATCCCAGGATTCATTGCGAGACCAAGCAAGCCGTGATCAGAGGAAAGGTTACTTGGCGCCGACCAGTGGTGAAAATTGGAAGTTCAGTTTAATATAATCCAGTCAGTGAATAGTTCCGTCTGAGATTAATGAAAATAGTTGTTTTAATGGTTATAGAGTCAGATATGTGGCGGTGATGTTTGGTTTATCTAAAGGTTTTAATCTGTTACTGTGTAAATGGGTTTGGCTGGAATTTAAGGACAGATTCTAATATATTTGCAGGGTGGGGACTATAAATCTGATAGGATTTTATCTTTTTATTGCTGTTTTGCACAATATGCTAAACTAAGATTTTTTGTTGTTGAATATTAGAGATTTTGCAGATATATTTTTGTTTAGATTTACTTATATCTTTTTACCCCTTTTATAGAATAGAATAGAAAATCCCTTTATTGTCCCACAATGGGCAAATTTACAGCAGCAGAAAGATTATTGAAAATAGTCACACAAATGAGGACCTTAGAAAAATGTCTAAGAATAACATAATAGGGAAGAGTTAAAATATAAACAATAAAATCCTGTAAAGTGTTTTAACAATATAAAACTGGAGAATAAATAACCAATATGCAGCTATGGACATTTTTACAGTAATTTGAAAATAGCAGCAACATCAGAGATGTGCAGAATGACAGCAGCAGGTTATTTAACTGACTAAGGTTTCTATCTTTACATTTGATTTGATTTGTAGCGTCGCGCAGCTTTGTCGTCACGTCCTCAAAACCCCGCCCACTTTGCGTCCAGACTGCCTCAGACCTTACAGCATCCAGCGGTATTTTTTTTCTCTTTAGCAGAAATCTGCACTCAGAGGCTTTTATTGTGAAAGTATGGGATGCTGGCTTCCGCTCTTTATGTAAACAGCAAAGATGGCGGCCTACGGTGCGCTCCGAGCCGTCCTCAGTTTGGCTTTGAGCAGATCCAGATGTGCCGGAAGACTCAGGTCAGTTCCTCTCACAGCGGAACCAGTGGGCAACTTAGGGATAAGGGTGGAGGAGCTCTGAGGGTGGGGGCGCTCTGAAGGTGGGGGCGCTCTGAAGGTGGGGGCGCTCTGAGGGTGGGGGAGCTCTGAGGGTGGAGGAGCTCTGAGGGTGGAGGGGCTCTGAAGGTGGGGGCGCTCTGAGGGTGGGGGAGCTCTGAGGGTGGAGGAGCTCTGAGGGTGGAGGAGCTCTGAGGGTGGAGGCGCTCTGAAGGTGGGGGCGCTCTGAAGGTGGGGGCGCTCTGAGGGTGGGGGAGCTCTGAGGGTGGAAGAGCTCTGAGGGTGGAGGGGCTCTGAAGGTGGGGGCGCTTTGAGGGTGGAGGAGATCTGAGGGTGGGGGGACTCTGAAGGTGGGGGCACTCTGAGGGTGGGGGCACTCTGAGGGTGGGGGCGCTCTGAGGTAGGAGGGGCTCTGAGGTTGGAGGAGATCTAAGGTAGAAGGGGCTCTGAAGGTGGGGGCACTCTGAGGGTGAGGGAGCTCTGAAGGTGGGGGAGCTCTGAGGGTGGAGGAGCTTTGAGGGTGGAGGGACTCTGAAGGTGGAGGGGCTCTGAGGGTGGAGGAGCTCTGAGGGACGAGGGGTACTGAGGGTGGAGGAGCTTTGAAGGAGGAGGGGCTCTGAAGGTGGAGGGGCTCTGAGGGTGGGGGGGGTACTGAGGGTGGAGGAGCTTTGAGGGTGGAGGAGCTTTGAGGGAGGAGGGGCTCTGAAGGTGGAGGGGCTCTGAGGGTGGGGGCGCTCTGAGGGAGGAGGGGCTCTGAGGGTGGGGGCGCTCTGAGGGTGGAGGGGCTTTGAGGGTGGAGGGGGTACTGAGGGTGGAGGAGCTTTGAGGGTGGAGGTGCTCTGAGGGTGGGGGCGCTCTGAGGGTGGAGGAGCTTTGAGGGTGGAGGGGTACTGAGGGTGGAGGAGCTTTGAGGGAGGAGGGGCTCTGAAGGTGGAGGGGCTCTGAGGGTGGGGGCGCTCTGAGGGTGGAGGAGCTTTGAGGGTGGAGGGGCTCTGAGGGTGGAGGAGCTTTGAGGGTGGGGGCGCTCTGAGGGTGGAGGGGCTTTGAGGGTGGAGGGGCTCTGAGGGTGGGGGTGCTCTGAGGGTGGAGGAGCTTTGAGGGTGGAGGGGCTCTGAGGGTGGAGGAGCTTTGAGGGTGGGGGCGCTCTGAGGGTGGAGGGGCTTTGAGGGTGGAGGGGCTCTGAGGGTGGGGGCGCTCTGAGGGTGGAGGGGCTCTGAGGGTGGGGGCGCTCTGAGGGTGGAGGAGCTTTGAGGGTGGAGGGGTACTGAGGGAGGAGGGGCTCTGAAGGTGGAGGGGCTCTGAGGGTGGGGGCGCTCTGAGGGTCCCATATGTCATTAACAGCCAAAGTCTATATATTGAACCTTATATTTTTATTATTTGGTCATTAATTCTTACAGGTTTCTAATATTCTAATCTTTCAGTCTGTTTCCTGTGAGTCCGGCTGTCTCTGGGTTGATGCACAGATATTTCTGAGTCCTGCTGATCTACAAAAGAAAACATGTTGAGTTTTATTATATTATAGCGTAGTTTTTCTGGTAAACATTGGGATATATTTTATTTAATGTTTTATATCCCAGTAAATCTGTTTCACCTTTAAATCAGCAGCTGTCCCTGACTGTGTCTCTGCTTCTGAACCAGTCTACTAACAGCATAACGATACAATAGACCCGTTAAGCAGCATTATCTGGGTGGGCCCCATAGAAAGTACAACATAGGAAGTTTAATCTACGCTCTGGATTACCCATAATTCCAAGTCGTATTGTAAAAAATAAAATACTCAAATACATCGTTCTTTTAAGATCTTTATTGTGGTGTGAAACATATTATGAGTGTATTTTTAACTAACCGTCCAATGAACTATTCACAGTTATTAACATAGTAATTAACAGTCTCTGCTGTTGGTGTGGTGTTTAAACGGCTCACCATCATGGTGAACTCTGCTCCGCTCATTTGATCGAGTATCAGGCGGGTTTAGGAGGAATTTTTCGTACCATCATGATTGCGTAGGGGGCCATCCAGGAGTCAGTGACTGGGCCCCTAAGAGGTCGGGGCCCCTAAGCAACTGCAGTCTCTGCTTACCGATGGTTACACCATTGGCTCTCTACCGATATAATGATGCCAGAGAAAATCATTTTCAGGATCTCTAGAAGCTCTGCAGTCTGATTCTCTGTTCATCTGAAAACAACAGATCTGTGTTCGTTTTAATCTGTAACTCTGAGTAATGCTCCTCTGAACAGCCCAGCTTTTTAAACTTATATAAATGTAAACTCTGTTTCCACTTTTAGCTGAAAAAGCTCCGCATGTATAACTAACGGTGGCGTCTCTATTTCTTTAACCAAACCGTCTCCTAACTTTTACTGAAACAAGTAGCTGCTGGTGAATATTCACTGAGTGCTGCTGTAAATAGTGACCCCAAATAATATTCTGTCCCAAAGCGACAGATCCCATGATGTTTTACTGAGAGGAGGGACTGGAGAGCAGCGGGAGGGCGAGGAAAAAACACCGACTGAAAACGCTCTGAACACAGTTAGCTGCACCCAGTTACTGCTGGCTGAAGGAAATCAGCGGAAATTATTGGTGGGGACATGTCCAAAGGGCGGACCGGTGGTGGTCCAGAGGGCAGACCGGTGGTGGTCCAGGAGGCGAACCGGTGGTGGTCCAGAGGGCAGACCGGTGGTGGTCCAGAGGGCGGACCCGTGGTGGTCCAGAGGGCAGACAGGTGGTGGTCCAGGAGGCGAACCGGTGGTGGTCCAGGAGGCGAACCGGTGGTGGTCCAGAGGGCGGACCGGTGGTGGTCCAGAGGGCGGACCGGTGGTGGTCCAGGAGGCGAACCGGTGGCGGTCCAGAGGGCGGACCGGTGGTGGTCCAGGAGGCGAGATTCTATCCTAACATAAAAACAAACATTTTCTATTTTCTTTCAAATAAATCTATCAGTCAAATAAAACAGTTTCAAAGAGGACCTCCCGTTTAGGGATTAATGACGTCTGGTTTGTTTTTCCTACTGTGATTTTCTGTCGGTGTGATGAAGGAAGTAAACCAGAGGAACTGACATCAGAATGCAGGTGTTTCCTCTGACTCTATTTCACCGTTACACCTGCTGCCTGATTCAGCGAGCCTGAGCTGATGCTAACTCTGGCTGTCCGACTCCTCCATGATCACTATATAGCGGATACCAAGGTCTACTGGATGAACAAGTAGTGATGATCCATAATCACTCAGATATATCCCAGAATGCTTTGGGAGAAGAGCTCTCCTCCCAAAGCATCATGGGATTTGTTGTCACAGCCGCCTGCTGTCGCTACCTGACAGTGGCGACTAATAACAAAGATGGCGCAGCCCCCATGCGAGGAGGCGGAGTTTGTGTCAAGGTCAGTTCATTGAGTTGACTATATAGTTCCTGTTCTATAGTGATGGAGGGATGTAGAGGTTATGGCGGAAGGTCGGACGCTGCCCGGGTGATAAAGTGGTCCAATTATCGAGGTTCCCTCTGCAGTGGGGAGGACGCCCTTCTATCAGTCTCTGCCCGCCACAGGAAGGACGGGTTCTGATCCACTCCTCTGGTGCTGCACATAGACCTGCTGGACTGCAGCAGCTCAGTGACCCAGTTTGCATTAACAGAGTCTATCGCCCCCTGCAGGCATTGTGTCCTCTGCGCTCCGGTTGTTCCTGAAGCTGGAAGCCGCACAGCATTCTGGGAAGCCAGGAGTGGACGCCAGGAGCAGAAAAGAAGTGGAGGCGGTGCTCTGTGGACCGCAGTTGGTACGTCTGGAGAGTCCACCATGATGGGGGACAGGCGGGAGAGACGGGCGGGACAGAGACGGGCGGGACAGAGGTGGGTGGGACAGAGGTAAGCAGGCGGGACAGAGGTGGGCGGGACAGAGGCGGGCAGGCCAAAGCTGGGCAGGATAGAAGCTGGAGGGACAGAGGCAGGAAGGACAGGTTTCCCTCTAACCGTCCCTCTGGTTCTGTGTCCCTACAGCTTTCTCTCTATTCAGCAGCTCTGATGAAGACAAGAAGGACGAAGCTGAGAGGAAGAAGGACGAAATGATTTTGTTGCTAAAGAAAGCAAAGGTACCAGAACCTGGAGCTGGAAGCTGCCAGACACCAAACCAGCACTGACCAGTAAACTGATTGTTTGGGGCAACCATAGAGAAGAATGTCACCAAAAATCAGAAACATTCAAATATGTTGAATGAACTAGTTTGGTTCCTGTTGGAGATAATAAATATTTCTATCAGAAGGAGCATAGACCAGTATCCAGGAGAGAAACTCCTGGAGGAGCAGGGAGAGGACTGACATCTGTATTTTGGTTGCAGCTCAGTTTGCATCGTGGGAATCTTCAGGCAGCCTCCTCCTACCTCCATCAGGCTGTAGCTCTGGCTCATCAGACCCACAACAACCAGGCCATCATCTACACCTACAGCCAGGTAATCTACCAGGCCCTTCAGTCTGAATGCCACTGTTAGGGACCCTGCAGTCTGGTTCCTACAACCGGGGACCCTACGGTCTGGTTCCTACAACCGGGGACCCTGCAGTCTGGTTCCTACAACCAGGGACCCTGCAGTCTGGTTCCTACAACCAGCAACCCTATAGTCTGGTTCCTACAACCAGGAAACCCTACGGTCTGGTTCCCACAACCGGGGACCCTACGGTCTGGTTCTTATAACCGGGGACCCTATAGTCTGGTTCCTACAACCGGGGACCCTCCAGTCTGGTTCCTACAACTGGGGACCCTACAGTCCAATTCCTACTACCGGGGACCCTACAGTCTGGTTCCTACACTAGGGACCCTGCATTCTAGTTCCTACAACTGGGGAAACCCTACGGTCTGGTTCAGTTGGTGACACAACAGTTTGGTTCCTCCAACCGGAGACCCAACAATCTGGTTCCTACAACCGGAGACCCAACAATCTGGTTCCTACAACCAGAGACCCAACAATCCGTTTCCTACTGCTGGGGACCCTTTAATCTGGTTCCTACAACCAGAGACCCAACAATCCGTTTCCTACTGCTGGGGACCCTTTAATCTGGTTCCTATAGCCATGTACCCTACAATCTAGTTCCTACAACCGGGGATCCTAAGGTTTGGTACCTACTGCAGGGGACCGTATGATCTGGTTCCTACAACCGTGGACCCCAGAGTGTGGTTCCTACAACCCTACAGTCAGCGTCCCACAGCTGGGACCCTACGGTCTGGTTCCTATAGCTGGGGACCCTACAGCTGGGACTCTATAGTCTGTTTCGTACAGTTGGGGATCCCACAGTCTGCATCCTATAGCTGACAACCCTACATTCTGGTTCCTACTGCTGGGGGCCCTACAGTCTGGGTCTTACAGCTGGGTACCCTACAGTGTGGTTCCTGCAGCTGGGGACCTGGAAGTAGATGTCATGGGGTCCAGGTGTGGTCACCTCATAGACCAGTTCTGTGGGAATGTCAGGCAAGTCTTTGAACTTCAGTGTCAGAACTTGTTTATAAACCAGCCGCTGGAGCTTGAACTGGATTTGTTCCATGTCCCTTTCCAAGAAACGGACTTGGTTCCACTCTGATCTCACTCCTGGTCTTTGGACCACCCTCTGTCCTCTGTCTCCTCCGGTCTCTAGCTGTCTCCCCCTGGTATCTAGCTGTCTCCCCCTGGTCTCTAGCTGTCTCCCCCTGGTCTCTAGCTGTCTCCCCCTGGTCTCTAGCTTTCTCGCCCTGGTCTCTAGCTGTCTCCCCCTGGTCTCTAGCTGTCTCCCCCTGGTCTTTAGCTTTCTCGCCCTGGTCTCTAGCTGTCTCCCCCTGGTCTTTAGCTGTCTCCCCCTGGTCTCTAGCTGTCTCCCCCTGGTCTTTAGCTGTCTCCCCCTGGTCTCTTGCTTTCTCGCCCTGGTCTCTAGCTGTCTCCCCCTGGTATCTAGCTGTCTCCCCCTGGTCTCTAGCCGTCTCCCCCTGGTATCTAGCTGTCTCCCCCTGGTCTCTAGCCGTCTCCCCCTGGTCTCTAGCTGTCTCCCCCTGGTCTTTAGCTTTCTCGCCCTGGTCTCTAGCTGTCTCCCCCTGGTCTCTTGCTTTCTCGCCCTGGTCTCTAGCTGTCTCCCCCTGGTATCTAGCTGTCTCCCCCTGGTCTCTAGCCGTCTCCCCCTGGTATCTAGCTGTCTCCCCCTGGTCTCTAGCTTTCTCGCCCTGGTCTCTAGCTGTTTCCCCCTGGTCTCTAGCTGTCTCCCCCTGGTCTTTAGCTTTCTCGCCCTGGTCTCTAGCCGTCTCCACCTGGTCTCTTGCTTTCTTGCCCTGGTCTCTTGCTTTCTCGCCCTGGTCTCTAGCTGTCTCCCCCTGGTCTCTAGCTGTCTCCCCCTGGTATCTAGCAGTCTCCCCCTGGTCTTTAGCTTTCTCGCCCTGGTCTCTAGCCGTCTCCACCTGGTCTCTAGCTGTCTCCCCCTGGTCTCTAGCTGTCTCCCCCTGGTCTCTAGCTGTCTCCCCCTGGTCTCTAGCTGTCTCCCCCTGGTATCTAGCTGTCTCCCCCTGTTCTTTAGCTTTCTCGCCCTGGTCTCTAGCCGTCTCCACCTGGTCTCTTGCTTTCTCGCCCTGGTCTCTAGCTGTCTCCCCCTGGTATCTAGCTGTCTCCCCCTGGTCTCTAGCTGTCTCCCCCTGTTCTCTAGCCGTCTCCCCCTGGTATCTAGCCGTCTCCCCCTGGTATCTAGCTGTCTCCCCCTGGTCTCTAGCTTTCTCGCCCTGGTCTCTAGCTGTCTCCCCCTGGTCTCTAGCTGTCTCCCCCTGGTCTTTAGCTTTCTCGCCCTGGTCTCTAGCCGTCACCCCCTGGTATCTAGCTGTCTCCCCCTGGTCTCTAGCTGTCTCCCCCTGGTCTTTAGCTTTCTCGCCCTGGTCTCTAGCCGTCACCCCCTGGTATCTAGCTGTCTCCCCCTGGTCTCTAGCTGTCTCCCCCTGGTCTTTAGCTTTCTCGCCCTGGTCTCTAGCCGTCACCCCCTGGTATCTAGCTTTCTCGCCCTGGTCTCTAGCCGTCACCCCCTGGTATCTAGCTGTCACCCCCTGGTCTCTAGCTGTTTCCCCCTGGTCTCTAGCTGTCTCCCCCTGGTATCTAGCTGTCTCCCCCTGGTCTCTAGCCGTCTCCCCCTGTTCTCTAGCCGTCTCCCCCTGGTATCTAGCCGTCTCCCCCTGGTATCTAGCTGTCTCCCCCTGGTCTCTAGCTTTCTCGCCCTGGTCTCTAGCTGTCTCCCCCTGGTATCTAGCTGTCTCCCCCTGGTCTCTAGCTTTCTCGCCCTGGTCTCTAGCTGTCTCCCCCTGGTCTCTAGCTGTCTCCCCCTGGTCTTTAGCTTTCTCGCCCTGGTCTCTAGCCGTCTCCCCCTGGTCTCTAGCTGTCTCCCCCTCGTCTCTAGCCGTCTCCCCCTGGTCTTTAGCTTTCTCGCCCTGGTCTCTAGCTGTCTCCACCTGGTCTTTAGCTTTCTCGCCCTGGTCACTAGCTGTCTCCCCCGGTCTCTAGCCGTCACCCCCTGGTCTCCAGCTGTCTCCCCCTGGTCTCTAGCTGTCTCCCCCTGGTCTTTAGCTGTCTAGCCCTGGTCTCTAGCTGTCTCCACCTGGTCTTTAGCTTTCTCGCCCTGGTCACTAGCTGTCTCCCCCGGTCTCTAGCCGTCACCCCCTGGTCTCCAGCTGTCTCCCCCTGGTCTCTAGCTGTCTCCCCCTGGTCTTTAGCTGTCTAGCCCTGGTCTCTAGCTGTCTCCACCTGGTCTTTAGCTTTCTCGCCCTGGTCACTAGCTGTCTCCCCCTGGTCTCTAGCCGTCTCCCCCTGGTATCTAGCTGTCTCCCCCTGGTCTCTAGCTTTCTCGCCCTGGTCTCTAGCTGTCTCCCCCTGGTCTCTAGCTGTCTCCCCCTGGTCTCTAGCTGTCTCCCGCTGGTCTCTAGCTTTCTCGCCCTGGTCTCTAGCTGTCTCCCGCTGGTCTCTAGCTTTCTCGCCCTGGTCTCTAGCTGTCTCCACCTGGTCTCTAGCTTTCTTGCCCTGGTCTCTAGCTGTCTCCCCCTGGTCTCTAGCTTTCTCGCCCTGGTCTCTAGCTGTCTCCCCCTGGTCTCTAGCTTTCTTGTCCTGGTCTCTAGCTGTCTCCCCCTGGTCTCTAGCTTTCTCGCCCTGGTCTCTAGCTGTCTCCCCCTGGTCTCTAGCTGTCTCCCCCTGGTCTCTAGCTGTCTTCCCCTGGTCTCTAGCTTTCTCACCCTGGTCTCTAGCTGTCTCTCCCTGGTCTCTAGCTGTCTCCCCCTGGTCTCTAGCTGTCTCCCGCTGGTCTCTAGCTTTCTCGCCCTGGTCTCTAGCTGTCTCCCGCTGGTCTCTAGCCGTCACCCCCTGGTCTCTAGCTGTCTCCCCCTGGTCTCTAGCTGTCTCCCCCTGGTCTTTAGCTGTCTAGCCCTGGTGTCTAGCTGTCTCCACCTGGTCTTTAGCTTTCTCGCCCTGGTCACTAGCTGTCTCCCCCTGGTCTCTAGCCGTCTCCCCCTGGTATCTAGCTGTCTCCCCCTGGTCTCTAGCTTTCTCGCCCTGGTCTTTAGCTGTCTCCCCCTGGTCTCTAGCTGTCTCCCCCTGGTCTCTAGCTGTCTCCCCCTGGTCTCTAGCTTACTCGCCCTGGTCTCTAGCTGTCTCCACCTGGTCTCTAGCTTTCTTGCCCTGGTCTCTAGCTGTCTCCCCCTGGTCTCTAGCTTTCTCGCCCTGGTCTCTAGCTGTCTCCCCCTGGTCTCTAGCTTTCTTGTCCTGGTCTCTAGCTGTCTCCCCCTGGTCTCTAGCTTTCTCGCCCTGGTCTCTAGCTGTCTCCCCCTGGTCTCTAGCTTTCTTGTCCTGGTCTCTAGCTGTCTTCCCCTGGTCTCTAGCTTTCTCACCCTGGTCTCTAGCTGTCTCTCCCTGGTCTCTAGCTGTCTCCCCCTGGTCTCTAGCTGTCTCCCCCTGGTCTTTAGCTTTCTCGCCCTGGTCTCTAGCTGTCTCCCCCTGGTCTCTAGCTGTCTCCCCCTGGTCTCTAGCTGTCTCCCCCTGGTCTCTAGCTGTCTCCCCCTGGTCTCTAGCTGTCTCCCCCTGGTCTCTAGCTTTCTCGCCCTGGTCTTTAGCTGTATTGCCCTGGAACATGAAAGGGAGTGTGCCTTTCTCGTTAATCCAGACCTTCATTGCTAGCAATTTTAATTAGAACTACAGGTAGCTGGAATTCTTACATGATTCCAGATATTGCAATGGATGTAATGAAACAAGCTACGAAGTTGATCCGCAGTTCAGGGAGCGAGAGAAAATTGACGCTCATTTATTCAAATCAGGGGGAGATGAGTTTATTTCCCGAAATTGTACAGTCATGCTTTTTCATTAAACGGATGTCTTCTCCATTAGATTTAGATGACTGTGAGGAGACGGGTAGCCTGGCTGGATCAGAGGCTGGCAGATCCCGTTCACTGCCTTCTGTTTTCACCGAGGCAGCCAGAAATAGAATGTCCCAGGATTCACAGAATTGATAAGAGAATCGAATCGTTTCACAGAATCAATAATGGAATCGGAATCGTGAAAATCTTATCAATTCCTAACCCTACCCATGTCCATCCTCTGTTGTGTCAGTTCTTGATCTATGTGGTGTTTCTTCTCAGATGGCGAATGTGGCCTACCTTCAGGGTCATCTGGACAGTGTGAGTATTATCCACTCACAGCTCAGAACCATCTTATTTGTGGTTATATGACCCAAAGGGCGGGGGGCATGGGGGGTGGGGAGTCTGTGATGCTTTATGATATCCCGTCTTCCCTTCAGGCAGAGAAGCTCTTCAAAGCAGCCATGAGCTTCATGCTTGCAGGAGGAACTCCAGAGGTGAGTCTGTCCACCACAACTGTCCATGCGCCCCAGGTGGAGCTGATCTCCAGGACTCTCTTCCTGTCTGTTTCCAGGACGACAACGCTGTTATTGAGATGTCTCTGAAGCTGGCCACCATCTATGCTGAGCAGAACAAGTAACCATTTGATGCGCTTTGTGGTTTGAGAATCTGTGTCAGTACGGGTCAGTTCCCCGTTCAGTTTCTGGTTCTATAGGAAGGAGTCGGTCTTTAGCTAACCTCCCGGTCCATGATGAAGGAGTGGCTACAGCTGCCTCCCCTACAGAGCCTGAAGGTCCTGGCAGGTCCAGAACCCTTCGGCACTGTAGTTCCTTCAAGCTTTAGCAGAACATGATTCCCTAGAACCTGAGGAGAACCAGAACCCAGGGAGGGGAACAAAGTAAAGACCTGACTCTGGTCTTGAAGAAGCTGAGATGGAACCACTGGGTACCGAGCCACCCCTAATACTCGGCTCATGCTGTTATGGTTCCTCTTTAGTCTTATCAGTTGGAACTGGACCAAAGCTTAAAGATTGTTCAGATCAAGCCTTGGGCCCACAGGCCCCTGAATGCCCCCTGCTACAACGGCCCCTGGTTAGACAGTAGATGTTCAGTAAGTCCAGTGATCCCTCGACCCAGAGGTCAAAGGTCACTGCCTTCTCTGTGTTGTTCAGGGCAGAACTGGCAGAACACGGCTTCAGATTCTGTGTGGAGTCCCTGGAGGCCAAACTGGAGAAACACAAGGAGCAGATGGAGGATGAGAGGACAGGTGAGAAAGCTGGGACAGGGATGGGGGGACAGGGACTGATACGTACCCACCCATCTGTATTTGCTGGCAGAGGAGCAGGAAGTTCTGAGGAAAGACACCCACCTCCTGCTTGGCCTGTGTTTGGACTCGCGTGCCCGGTACCGAGCCTCGCTGCTGCAACTGGACCGGGCCAGACAGGACTACAGAAAGGCCCTGGACATCTGCAGGACAGAACAGGGAGACACCCATCCACAGGTACACCTGTCCCCTGGTAGACATCTTCACAGGTAGACATGTCCACGGGTAGTCATGTCCACAGGTAGACATGTCCATGGGTAGACATGTCCATGGGTAGTCATGTCCACAGGTAGACATGTGAGCGGGTAGATATGTCCATGTCTGCAGGTAGACATGTCCATGTCCACAGGTAGACATTTCAGCCGGTAGATATGTCCACTGGTAGACATGTCCATGTCCACAGGTAGACATGTCTTCAGGTAGACATGTCCATGTCCACAGGTAGACATTTCAGCCGGTAGATATGTCCACTGGTAGACATGTCCATGTCCACAGGTAGACATGTCTTCAGGTAGACATGTCCATGTCCACAGGTAGACATGTCAGCGGGTAGATATGTCCACAGGTAAACATGTCCATGTCCGCAGGTAGACATGTCCATGTCCACAGGTAGACATGTCCGCAGGTAGAAATGTCCATGTCCACAGGTAGAAATGTCCGCAGGTAGACATGTCCATGTCCACAGGTAGACATGTCCGCAGGTAGACATGTCCATGTCCACAGGTAGACATGTCAGCGGGTAGATATGTCCACAGGTAGACATGTCCGCAGGTAGACATGTCCATGTCCACAGGTAGACATGTCAGGGGGTAGACATGTCAGCAGGTAGACATGTCCCCGGGTAGACATGTGAGCAGGTAGACATGTCCATGTCCACAGGTAGACATGTCAGCAGGTAGACATGTCCATGTCCACAGGTAGACATGTCCGCAGGTAGACATGTCCATGTCCACAGGTAGACATGTCAGCGGGTAGATATGTCCACAGGTAAACATGTCCATGTCCACAGGTAGACATGTCCGCAGGTAGACATGTCCATGTCCACAGGTAGACATGTCAGCGGGTAGATATGTCCACAGGTAAACATGTCCATGTCCACAGGTAGACATGTCCGCAGGTAGACATGTCCATGTCCACAGGTAGACATGTCAGCGGGTAGATATGTCCACAGGTAAACATGTCCATGTCCACAGGTAGACATGTCCGCAGGTAGATATGTCCATGTCCACAGGTAGACATGTCAGCGGGTAGATATGTCCACAGGTAAACATGTCCATGTCCACAGGTAGACATGTCCGCAGGTAGACATGTCCATGTCCACAGGTAGACATGTCAGCGGGTAGATATGTCCACAGGTAAACATGTCCATGTCCACAGGTAGACATGTCAGCAGGTAGACATTTCCATGTCAACAGGTAGACATGTCCGCAGGTAGACATGTCCACGTCCACAGGTAGACATGTCAGCGGGTAGACATGTCCACGTCCACAGGTAGACATGTCAGCAGGTAGACATTTCCATGTCAACAGGTAGACATGTCCGCAGGTAGACATGTCCATATCCACAGATAGAAGTCTCCACGGGTAGACATGTCCACAGGGAGACCAATTCTCTGGTACATTTGTCCTCTGGAAGACATGTCCACCAGCTTTCATGTGTCCCATCAGACTCTGGTCCTGATGAGCGACCTGGCCACCATCCTGGACCTGCAGGGTCATCATGACGACGCCTTGGTTCTGATCCAGCAGGCGGTGGATGTGAGCCGCTCCACAGACCATGAGGATCATCACCTGCTTCTGGGAAACCTGGCAGGAATCCTTCTGCACACAGGTGAGACATCTGAAGACAGGACTGTCCACCTGGTCTCTGCTGGTTCCAGTCTCTGGGTTCTGTCTCCACAGGCCGACTGGAGGATTCTGTTCGGTTCTACCAGGAGGCTCTGGGCCTGGCCAGGCAGGCGGGAGACCAGGCAGCCGTCCAGCAGATCCAAGAGGGACTTGAGGAGGTGAAGAAGAGGAGGGGCCAGGAGAGGAATAAGCAGGAGGAGGAGGCAGCAAAGCTACCCTGATGGTGCTGATGGTTCTACTGGTGACCCCGCCCCAATCCAGCATGTGCCCTTCTTCATGCAAACTACAGAACAAGAACCCTGGACTCAGGGGGGACTGGAGAAGAACTGTGGGGGTCCGGTTCCCTGCGGTGGGGGCCCGGGTCCCTGTGCCTCCCATTTACTGAGCCGTTCCTGATGACAGCAGTAAACACAGTGGAGGGGGCGGAGCTTAGTTACTGCATGTTTGTTGTGTCAACAGAAATAAATCCTGATGGTTGAAGCATGTCGGCTGGTTTATTGTCTGTGATGAAGGTGAGGGGGCCGGTTCCATGGCCCCGGTGGAGAGGGATTAGAATTGTTCTGGTTCTGAAGGGTTCTCCCTCAGCTGAGCAGAACCTCATGGAGCAGCAACATTAGTTCAGAGGTTCTGAGCCAGAACAAACTTTGGATCATTGCTCACTTTGGGCTATAAAATGAGGGACTCTAAACCTGGTGAAACGGACGAATATTGAGAGCAGATTGGATCAGGTTCTGGTTCAGTTTCATCTGCATGGACAGATGGAGAACCTCTCAGAACTTTGGAGCTTTGCTCCTATTTCTGGATGGTTCCTGGTGTCTGAAGTCCGGCCCGGTCCACAGCAGGAGCAGACGGTTCTGTGGGAAAGATGCTGCTTTTCTTGAACATCAACAGGAGCTTTAGAAGCACTCAGGTGAATCCGGGTAAACATCGGAGGACACAGGCATGTTTGGGTTCAGCTGTGGGAAAGGAGATAATTACTGTTGTTCTGATGAAACGCGTACACAGACCCGCTGCTATAAAGGCTGCCGCAGTCCGTTTGGTTCTGATCCCACGGGGCCACGACGGATCGACACCCAGAGCAGGTTGGAGGACACACAGGTGAGTGACTGGGCTTCATCCCAGAGCGCCCGAGAACTCTGCTGCTGGACCACTCAGGAAGTTCTGGTTCCATGGAACAGAACCTGGTCCTGTTTGGTCCACAGCCTGTAATCTATGTAATGGGTTAGCTTCATCTGGATTTATAGACAGATATAGCTGGGTATCATCAGCATAACAGTGGAAATTAATCCCATGCTGTCTAATAACTCTACCAATTGGGAGCATGTATAAAGTAAAGAGAATTGGTCCTAGCACTGATCCCTGTGGTACTCCACAGGTAACCATGACAACATGAAGGAGGATTTATTTTTAACCTGAATAAACTGACCAATCAGATTCCATCATTGCTGCAAGACGAAGGGAAACATAGATCCAATCCTGCAGGTTTGATCCTTCAGAAAACCAACAATCGGAGCGAAGCTAAACCGGTTCTGGGTGGTCTGTGGCGCCCATCCACACACACACACACACACACACTGACATCTGGGGGAAGGCAGCGTTCTCCAGGTAGGGATGGACAACCGATGGATGGAGTTCATAGTGCTGGTAAAGAGTCTCAGTCATCCTTGTCCAAAAAGGGTAAAAACAATCTTTTTTCCACCATCTTGTCTTTAGAACTTCACGTGTGACAGGAACAGACTGAGGGATTATCATCCTTCATGATGATTTCACTTCAGAGCATGACTCCACCCCTTTTCCTCCACAGTTAACCACCTGCCCTCTGCATATTAGGCCACTGATGATACAGACACTGCTACATACAGTGCTTATAAAAGTTTTCACCCCCTTTGCTTTTTACCTATTGGGTTCTTTTTGGTTCAAACTAATTAAAATGTTTTTAATCTTATTTTATCTAATGGATCAGCACACAACAAACTAAAGTATCAAACCCGCCCCTTGGGCCCGGAGGACACTAATCAGACAGAATGGACAGAGGACAAATGTAATCCTGAAGGAGACATGACCATAGCTCCACAGAGCAGCAAAAAGAAAAGGCTTCATAGCAGAGGACTTTATGGCAGAGTGGCATAAACAGAAACCACTTCCTCAAATAACTAAAAGGCATGTGGCTAACTGCCCTGGAGGAAGGAGCTCTAGTGTTGGCTGTATTATGCTGTTGGGACATTTCTCAGCAACAGTAACTGGATAACTGCTCTAAGGCAAAGAAAAGATGACTAGTGGTGAAAACGGGTAGTATGGAGCACCTGTCAGTCTGTGAACTGAAACTGGGACGGAGGTTTAGCTTCCATCAGAACAAAGACCCACAGCACAGAGCTGAAGCTGCACTAAGACTAAATGTGATGAAAACGACCAAGTCAAAGAAATACCTGCTGCCAGGTTTGATCATCTCATAGAGACCGGTCCAAAGAGACTGATCCAGAGAACGATCAATAGACTGACCCAAGCACAGCAATCCACAGTGACCGATCCAAAGAGAGCGATCCAAAGAGACTGATCCAAAGAGAGCGATCCAAAGAGACTGATCCAAAGAGGCTGATCCAAAGAGAGCGATCCAAAGAGACTGATCCAAAGAGACTGATCCAAATAGAGAGCGATCCAAAGAGACTGATCCAAAGAGACTGATCCGAAGAGACCGATCCAAAGAGAGACCGGTCCAAAGAGACTGATCCAAAGAGACTGAACCAAAGAGACTGATCCAAATAGAGAGCGATCCAAAGAGACTGATCCAAATAGACAGATCCAAAGAGAGACCAATTCATCTTTATTGTAGACATCAATGATACTTTTGAAGGCCACAGTATGTTCTCCATTTTCTTTAATGTTTCCACAAAACTCTTCAGCCATAGTTTTCCTTATTTCCAACACAACAAGTATTTGTTGATTTTAATGGACCCATGTGTGACCCTGCAGCATAGGTACCTACTTCCTCTACACCATGCCCATATATGGTTAGGAAGAGCATAGCCACCAAAAGTAACATGAAACTGTCCTTTAGCTTTCATATATCTGACCAAATATGTTCTATTTGTTCCAGTTTAGTAGAATGTCTATGAATTGGTATTTGTTAGAAGATCTCTGAGGTGAGAAGATGAGGGCTAGAGGTGTTAGCTCCATTTTTCTGAGGGCTTGGAGGAGGGTAGAAACTTTGATCTGTGTTCTTCTCTTCAGGTTTGGTACTTCTAACCTCTGACCCTGCAGCAGTGATGGAGCTGGATCAGAACTCTGGGGTTCCTGCTGACACTCTCCAGCAGACTGCAGTGAGTCTTTGCCTGGAGGCCTGCAGGAGTTTGATGCTTGATCTGCTGGTTCTTTGTAACCTTGTTCACCTTCTGGGTGAAACAGTAGATATTCTTTAACTGAAGAGTAGCAGGAGAAAGTAGCAGAGAGAGGAAAGAGGGCATCATGTCCTCCAGTAGCCTAAGCCTATAGCAGCAAAACTACAGAGATTTCAGGAGAACCTGAACTTCTCTAATGTGAGGTCAGAACCTGTTCTGGATCAAACGGCAGACTTCCTTCTGGTCACCTTAATCCAGGTTCTACCATCAGTAATAAAAATATAGCTTCTTTCTGTGCCCCAAGTCTGTCAGTGAACTGATGACATTCCTTTGGTTTCCACGAATTCATGAAGACTTTTAGATTTTTTGAATCCTTCTAACATCGGGTTTGATCTTCCTTTCTTTAGTCCCCTCCTGGTCTACACGGCCATAGCGAGCATGAGGAGGGGGGTCTGAACCAGGAAAAACATCAGATGGCCCACCAGAAGCAGAACCCTAAAGGTAAGATGCCAGAAATGGGTTTGGGTTTCCTAGACCAGGTTTTGGAGATCTTTGAGGTTCTCCAACTTTCCTATGTTTTAGGAAAGGGAAAGCTTTGAAAGAGGGAACATTTTACCCGGAGCCGGTCTCTGATGTTCTGCATTTCTGCAGCAGCTTTCAGCACATCTCTGAGGGTTCTAAGGGGTGCTCAGGGGTTCTTAGGCATTCTAAGGGGTTCAAAGGGATTCTGAGTGGTTATAAGGGGTTCTGAGGGGTTCTCAGTGGTTCTAAGGCGTTGAAAGGGTTGTAAGGGGTTCTAAGTAGTTCTAAGTGGTTCTGATTGGTTATAAGGGATTCTGGGGGGTTCATGTGGTTCTAAGGGGTTCTAAAGTATTGTACTGGGTTCCAGTTGGCTCTGAGGAGTTATAATGTGTTCTCAGTAGTTCTAAGGGTGGTGGTGAGGACAGGGTAGAAGATCATGGGGGGCCGCTCCCCTGCATCAAGAACATCGCACACAGGCGCTGCCTATCCTGGGCTCACCAGATCCTCTCCGACCCCACCCACCCCAACCATGGACTGTTTTCCTCCCTGGCATCTGGCAGAAGGTTCCGCAACATCTTCTGCAGAACGACCAGACTACTGAACAGTTTCTTCCCCCTGTCCATCAGACTGCGTAACGCCACATAACACTCCCCCCACCCACCCCCCCCCCCCACCCCCCACCCCCCCCCCCCACACACACACACACTAAAAATCACCCCCCATGGACATGGACAATACACGCACCTTAGTTTAGTTTTGTCTTCAATTTAATGTTTCGTTTAGCAATAACTCAATATGCAATATATATGTAAATATACACTCACCGGCCACTTTATTAGGTACCCCATGCTAGTAACGGGTTGGACCCCCTTTTGCCTTCAGAACTGCCTCAATTCTTGGTGGCATAGATTCAACAAGGTGCTGGAAGCATTCCTCAGGGAGTTTGGTCCATATTGACATGATGGCATCACACAGTTGCCGCAGATTTGTCGGCTGCACATCCATGATGCGAATCTCCCGTTCCACCACATCCCAAAGATGCTCTATTGGATTGAGATCTGGTGACTGTGGAGGCCATTTGAGTACAGTGAACTCATTGTCGTGTTCAAGAAACCAGTCTGAGATGATTCCAGCTTTATGACATGGCGCATTATCCTGCTGAAAGTAGCCATCAGAAGTTGGGTACATTGTGGTCATAAAGGGATGGACATGGTCAGCAACAATACTCAGGTAGGCTGTGGCGTTGCAACGATGCTCAATTGGTACCAAGGGGCCCAAAGAGTGCCAAGAAAATATTCCCCACACCATGACACCACCACCACCAGCCTGAACCGTTGATACAAGGCAGGATGGATCCATGCTTTCATGTTGTAGACGCCAAATTCTGACCCTACCATCCGAATGTCGCAGCAGAAATCGAGACTCATCAGACCAGGCAACGTTTTTCCAATCTTCTATTGTCCAATTTCCATGAGCTTGTGCAAATTGTAGCCTCAGTTTCCTGTTCTTAGCTGAAAGGAGTGGCACCCGGTGTGGTCTTCTGCTGCTGTAGCCCATCTGCCTCAAAGTTCCACGTACTGTGCGTTCAGAGATGCTCTTCTGCCCACCTTGGTTGTAACGGGTGGTTATTTGAGTCACTGTTGCCCTTCTATCAGCTCCAACCAGTCTGGCCATTCTCCTCTGACCTCTGGCATCAACAAGGCATTTCCGCCCACAGAACTGCCGCTCACTGGATGTTTTTTCTTTTTCGGACCATTCTCTGTAAACCCTAGAGATGGTTGTGCGTGAAAATCCCAGTAGATCAGCAGTTTCTGAAATACTCAGACCAGCCCTTCTGGCACCAACAATCATGCCACGTTCAAAGTCACTCAAATCACCTTTCTTCCCCATACTGATGCTCGCTTTGAACTGCAGGAGATTGTCTTGACCATGTCTACATGCCTAAATGCACTGAGTTGCCGCCATGTGATTGGCTGCTTAGAAATTAAGTGTTAACGAGCAGTTGGACAGGTGTACCTAATTAAGTGGCCGGTGAGTGTATATACTCTTTACCCTGTATATGGCTAGCTCTTAGTTATAGAAAACATTTATTGTGCAGGAATAAGGTCTTAGCTCTTTTACACTGGTAACCAAGTAATCGACATTTCGTTGTCAAGATTCACCTTGTGTTTTTTTGTGCAAGGCGTTATAGGGGTTATAAGTGGTTATAAGTGGTTCTAAGGGATTCTGGGGGGTTCTAAGGGGTTCTAAAGGGTTCCAAGGGGTTCTAAGTGATTCTAGGCGTTACAAGTGGTTCTAAGTGGTTCTAAGGTGTCATAAGGGTTCTGAGTGCTTATAAGGTATTCTAAGGGGTTCTAAGTGGTTCTGAGTGCTTATAAGGGATTGTAAGGGGTTCTAAGTGGTTCTGAGGGGGTTATAAGGGATTCTAAGGGGTTCTAAGTGGTTCTGATGGGTTCTAAAGGATTCTTAGGGGATCTCAGATTGTTCATAAAGGGCTTTTCTGTTCTAACCTCCACTGCTTACATAGAAAGTTCTCACAGGATCAGAACCTGCATAAGGACTCAGTTAGGTCTTTAGAAGTTTAGAAGGTTCATGTTCCTAATCCGGTTCTGTGGGGCATAACCGGGTCAGAACCGGCCCCTTGGACAGCGAACATTGGATGTTGTTGATGTGACCCGCTGCTGGCCCACACAGCAGACCCACGGCCTCTGTTCATTGTTGCTCTGAGGGTTCTGGTTCCGGACACCTGACCCAGAATGGATTATGACAGGAGCAGAAGGTTCTGGAGTTCTGCTGACTCATCACCTTCTGACCCCCCCCTTCTCCTGCACCCAGTCAGCTGTCCCAGTGCTGGTAGCTGATTGGCCTTTTGAGTCAGCGGTTCCCAGGAAAGCACTGAAGCGGAAAAACTCCTGATTTTGGAAATGGAATTATTGGTGAAACCTGAGAGCGTGGAGCTGATTGGACGGATCGGAGCGATGGTGGCGAGCAGGAGGTTCCCATGAGAACAGAGCTCTGCTGGAAGGTTGTCACCATGACATCACCGAGCTCACGTTTCTCCCCGTAGGACAGAAACGGCTTGGTGAAGATCAGAACCAGCAGAACATCCAGCAGGTCAGAAGGTCCTAAAGGTTCAGTCTCTACAGCCAATAAAGACCAAACGAACTGTGAGGCACACAGACCAAACAGGCTGTTCCCTGGAATATCCTGTAATCTCTCCAAATGAAAACCAAAATCAAATCAAATTAGAAAGAGAAAAAAAATAGGAAATTCTAATGATTTTTTTTTATTTGGTGTAAAAGAACATTTTCAGGAAAACTATGATAATCTTTAAAGTTCAGAAGCTCTCAGCTTCATTTTAAATGAAAGAAAATATTAAGGAAGCTATTAGCCTCATCAGAGAGGCTCCTCTAGTGGGGGCCTGTTGGCCCCTGACTAGAACGGCCCCTGATGCAGACAGATCCTTCTGAGCCATGAGGACAGAATTCAAGTTTTATTTTCAACCTTTTGTCTGCATTCAGAAGCAGAAAGTTAAGAGTCATCCAGGTTTTTCTGTCTTCAGACATGCCTGTAATCTATGTAATGGGTTAGCTTCATCTGGATTATAGACAGATATAGCTGGGTATCATCAGCATAACAGTGGAAATTAATCCCATGCTGTCTAATAACTCTACCAATTGGGAGCATGTATAAAGTAAAGAGAATTGGTCCTAGCACTGATCCCTGTGGTACTCCACAGGTAACCTTTGAGCGTGAGGAAGATCTATCATTAACATGAACAAACTGAATTCGATCAGATAGATCAGATTTAAACCAGTCTAGAGCTGTTCCTTTAATTCCAACAAAATATTCAAGTCTTTCTAAAAGAATATTATGATCAACTGGATCAAATGCAGCACTGAGATCCAACAGGACGAGCACAGATACAAGTCCATTATCTGAGGCCATGAGAATATCATTAGTGACTTTCACCAGAGCTGTTTCAGTGCTATGATGAGCTCTAAAGCCAGACTGAGGCCCCGTCCACACAAAGTCAAAACGAACACGAAACGCTAATATTTTCCAGAACGTTTGTCATAAAGACGGAGACGTAAAATAAATGTGATCGACCACACGAATGCATGAAAACGCAGCAAAATGTATGCCAGGCCTGTAAGTGGCGCTGTGGTGCCAAAGCAAAAATAGGCGAAAACAGGCAACGAAATGTTGGGCATGCGCAGTAATATCACGGAGCCTGAAACTCTTCAAAAAGTTCACTAATCTGCTGCTACTTTCATCTCAAAAGGTATTAATTCACCATCAAACACTGACATCAAACACTGACTTCAAACACTGACATCAAACACTGACATCAAATACTGACATCAAATACTGACATCAAACACTGACATCAAATACTGACTTCAAACACTGACATCAAACACTGACATCAAATGTCAATCATTTCTGACAGTACTTCAAAATAAAAGTTCAGATAACTTTACTGATGTTTTTATGTCAAACTTTTAATTTAAAATAATAGATTATTAAAACTCTAATGTTTCATTTATACTTATTATTTATTATTTTAGTGAATATGCAGACAGGAACTAGGATTGGGGGGGAGGGTTGCAGGTGAACAAATCCAAACCAGCTGCATGTTTTGGCTCTTCTGACTCCGCCCCCTCAGTTCACAGGTCGGATGACGTCTCACCTGTCCAGCGTCCCCCGGTGAGGCGGGGCTCCAGAGGATCAATCCTGGCCAGAGATCAGCTCAGCGACTTCAGCGACCTTCAGGTGGGTGGCTGATTGATGAGGTCATAGGGGCGGAGCCTAACATGCTAACAGCTATGGGGACACGCTACGCTTCCTGCTGTAGTCCTTCAGGCCCTCCTGACGTCCCTGTCCTTCTCCCAGTACTCCCAGAGGCCCTGGCACTGGGGTCCCAGTCCAGGAGGAACCTCTGAGGTTGAACGTCGTGATGAGCTAAAGCAAGAGCTGGAAGATGTCTCCAGGTGTCCATCAGGACCAAGCTGTCCCCACCAGGGGGACAGTCACACACACAGGGTTCTGAGCTTCAGACCCAGGACATGGACCATGTTTGGACTTGTAGGTTCAGCCTCTGGTTCGAGTCGTCATGAAGCCAGACCAGAGGTGTTCCTGAAGATGTTCTCGGTTTAAACTCTGAGTTCAGCTGCTTCAGGCGGATCAGGAGGTCTGCTGGGAACAGAACCAGAACAAAGGCCTGAAATATGAAGCCAGTTAATCCAGCGGGATTGGGACTAACTGGATCCTGTTAATGGGAGCCAATGGCTGATGGTGGGCTGGACCTCTGCAGGTGCTAAAGTTCTGGCTCTGCCTCCTCTGGGCTCAGTTGTTCTGGTCATCAGGATGCTGAGTTTGGACCTGAGGAGAGGGCAGAATAAGGT